GAGAGATGGAAAGAGGAAGGGGGAGGGAGGGAGGGAGAGAGAGAAAGTGGGGAGAGGGAGGGAGAGAGAGAGGGAGGAAGGGGGGAGAGAGAGGGTGGGATGGAGGGAGGGAGAGATAGAGAGGGAAGGAGGGATAGGGAGGGAGAGAGAAAAAGGGAAGGGGGAGAGAGAGGGAGGGAGGAAGGGGGAGAGAAAGAGGGGGAAGAAGTGGGGGAGAGAGGGAGGGAGGGAGAAGGAGAGAGAGAGGGAGGGAGGGAGAAGGAGAGAGGGAGGGAGGGAGGGAGGGGGAGGGAGGGTGTGCACGTGAGCATTCAGGAATGCTGTAGTGGTGAATGGGAGGGTTTGTTCTGGAAGGTAGTATCAAGTGGCTTTAAAGTCTCCAATTACAATATCGTTTTAATGCAAGCAAGTTTATCTCCAACACATCTCTGTTTTCCCACCCCCTACTGCCACAGTCAAGCTCTCTATTGTGAGAAGCTCACTGAGTAAGAATTTGAAGAGGAGAGTGAGATTTTAACAGAATTTATATATACTTGGAAGGGAAGATCTGCCTGGGCCCAGTGTGAAATTAACTGGTCTTTAAGCAGTGAAAGCTCATAAGAGCTTAAGAAAAATGGATTAAACCATTCCCTTTCTGCCATCAAGACAGGACAGTGCTACAAGAACACATTCACAAGGGAAGTGCTTATTTCTGACTCTTAACAAGACTTTAAAAATCACACTTGACAAAGTAACTGCAAAACTAGATTAAGAGCTAAAATTTAGTAGTATTTTAGTAGGTAAACATGGGATAGAAATGACTTCATTACCATATCTTCATTATCTTAAAATATTTTGAATAAATTTACTGCCATAAATTGAACACAAAGGCACTTAAATATATTGGACACAAAAGCATCTACAGAAAGTGTATTTCACAACTCAAAGAAGCAAGATTAAAATTTAACCACTGCAAAATTTCTTTTTGAACCCCCTACCCTACTAATTTATCTAGTAACTAAACACTCACAAGGACTAATTTATTTAAAAAAAAATTCAGAACTGTCCTACATCAGTTTAGCAGGAGGTTAAAAGTAAATACAAGATATTCCTGTCTACACAGAGCTTCAAACGGCAGGTAGGAGAAGGTATACACATGCTAATGTTCACTGGCAGTGTGAGCAAGTCACAAAGTGGGGGAGGTAACGGGGAGGGGGGAGGGAAAGGTGCTGAGGGGGTTCCCGTTTCCCAGGACTGTAAATGCATAAAACAACATCTGGAAAAAGGAGACTGAACTTGAATTTTCTGAATCACCTGAGGTTTAACGACGTTAAACTAACTTGCAATTCACAAGGGAAAAAAATCAAAACCTTACATTTTATTACTGTTAAAGAAATAATAAATAAATCATATACTGGTCATAAATTTTACCTTTATGCAGTGCTTCACGATATAAAGGAAGATCGTGAAATCTTCCAACTCGAAGTGAATTCCAATGCAAAATGAATCAAGCAATTTTGTCTGAGAGTAAAAATGACCCTGTTCCATGTTAACTTTAAACGCTCAAACAGCCCCAATTAGGTGCCCTAAAGTCTGAACAGCTTTAGTGCTGGTTCTCAACAATTCAGAAAGATGTTAATGAGGTCGGCTAGAGTACTACTTAAGTAGAAAGCTCTGGTGTAACTTAAATTTCACCTGCTCTTCATTATCAAGGATTTCCCCTCAAGGAGATTTTGACACTCCGACCCCACCACTGCAATCACTCTCCAAAACCTTTATTTTGCAAGTTGCAGTCACACTCCTAGTTTTTACTGTGAAAAAAGCTACAGGGTACCACATCTATGGCATTCCTGATCCCCAGGAATCCTGGCCACATTCCAGACTTTATGTCTGTTGGACCCTAGATTTGAATTGTCATCTACATCAGTGAATCTCAAAAGTGAACCAGAACAGAGTAGCAAGCTTCTCTGCACTATAATGTTCCTCCCTCAAACTCTGTAATGAGGTTGTCCACATGAACAACATAGAGATAAAAGACTATAACTATACAAAAGACTGGGGCTTCCCTGGTGGCGCAGTGGTTGAGAGTCCGCCTGCTGATGCAGGGGACACAGGTTCGTGCCCCGGTCTGGGAAGATTCCACATGCCGCGGAGCGGCTGGGCCCGTGAGCCATGGCCGCTAAGCCTGCGCGTCCGGAACCTGTGCTCCGCAACGGGAGAGGCCACAACAGTGAGAGGTCCACGTACCTCAAAAAAATAAATAAATAAATAAATAACGAGGGGACTATAATTTCAAAAAAAAAAAGGCTGTAATTTATAAACTGATGCTTCCCCAAACCGTATCTGAGATGCCACCTTTTTCACAAGCTTTCAACCCATACTGCCAACTGCCTACCAGGAAGATCCATCTAGATACGACACTTAAGAGAGAAATATTACTTCATCTTCCTCCACCTCCACCCCTAATGGCAGATTGCTAATTGCCCCCTTAATATTCACTCTTCCTTTTGAGTGGGGCATATGGCTGAGCTAGATTTCCCAGCCACCTTGCAGCTGGGTATGGTCATGTGACTAAGTTCTAGCCAATGGAATATGCAGGGAACTGAAATGTAAAACTTCTGGGTTGGTCTGTAATGGAAAGTGGCTTGCCCCACTTTCCTCCCCCATGTTACTAGGCCTGATGATGTGGAAGCAAGGCAGTCTCGGACCATGAGTGGGAGAGTAACATCCTAACTCCCATCACAGCACCTGACACCACCAATCAACAGTGCTTAGGTCCATGGAAGACAGAGAGGATCAGACTAGACCCTACTTATAGGCAAACAAGAAAGAGAATTCTCTCTTTTAAGCCACTGTTATTCTGGGTCTCTGTAATATTCGTCTGAACCTATAACCCAACTAAGACACTCCCAAGCTTATTTGCCTTCTGAGGTCAAGACTGGTGATTCCCAAACATGGCTGTATCCAAGAATCAACCTGAGACACTTTTAATTTACAAGGGAGATGGGGAGAGCAGTGGAATCTGTACTTTTAAGCTCTCCACCTCCATCTCCAGGTGATTCTGATGAAAAGTCAGCAGGTCTGGAAGCTGTTAATAGACACAAGGGAGATAACTTGTAATTGAGTTCCTTGGGCACAGTTTCAACTCCCAGGAGTCAGAATCCTAAGAAGTTTATCCAAGAGATGCCTTTTGAATCTGCTTTTTCCTTGTTTCTCTTCTCCAGCCCCACCAGAGTTTACATCCTTTTCACCATTACCCTGAGTTTCTCTGAGCCCCTACAGTTCCTTGGCTATCTCTCAGTGCAGCCCCAGAACTAAGTATTTTATGTTTAATTCCTCCCTAAAGTAAAGTCTAGCAGCTTTGCAGGTGGGTTAAAGATTGGCAAGGAGACACTATAGCATCATCTGCCAAAAGATCAGATTAATTTCTTTATTCAAGGAGCTGAGGAATCAAAAACCTTATCATAAATGAGGTGGCCATACACAGCAGGCATATACCTCAGCAGAACTCCCCTTGGTCTTGAGTTCCTAGTGGGGAGGGGTAGGCTAGAGCTGCCAGTGACACCATCCGAGAAGGTAGGATATCCGCCTGGATTTGCATAGCTCAATGTTTTGCCTCAGTATTGCCATTTTATAGTCCAGTTGAAGTGACCATTCAGGATGAATTTAACTCAATCTGTCAATGCACTTCTATTTAAGAGACTCTTTATATGAAAACACCACGTTTTCCTAGTTGACCAAATTCAGCAACAAAAAGGCCACATACTCAGTGGGGGAAAGCAACATCCGTGCAATGTGTCCGGGTCATTACGTCTGCCTACACCTTCCGAGCTTCCCAGAGATCCAATTTCTACAATGTGTCCCATTCATCTGTATGTCCCCTCAATCAGACCTGGCACTCAAATGTTTGCTAAATCAATCAATCACTGCAAAAAACCAATTTGGTGTTCTCCTTGCCACCAGTATTCTCTTCCACTTCCAGAGTTTCTTTCCTCAGTCCTACTCTGTGCCGGAGCTGCTCACTATGACACCCGTCACCCATGGCAACCGTCCTCTCAAACCTTCCGGCACATTCCCCGTCCTCCAGCCCAGCAGGGCACCAGCTTCTCGTGGGCCTGCCACATCTCCATGATTCTGCACGTGTTCTTTCAGATTCCCCCCACAAACACTACAGCCTCCACTCCTTTACTTGATAAACTACTACTCATCCTTTAAGACTCAGAGCAAATGTTACCTCCTCCTGTGAGAAGTTTCCAAATTCTCAAGCAAAATCAGTTGCTCTCCACTGGGTGCCCAAGGCATTTTGCTCCTCTACTCATAAAACAAGTATTTACTCAATGCTTACACAGCCCTTGCCAAAAACAGTGAACCAAATGTAAAACATGAACCAGCAGAAACACCAATATAGCCTCATGGTTGATGTCCATTTTCGCGTAGTTGTCTTTTCTTTGAAATAAAGGCAACTTTCTGAAATTACATCTCCGAATGCAAAAATAATTGCACCCAACGGATTGCCCTCTCATCAGGCCTTGGTGAGCGGAAAAGGTACTTGTGCTTTGGTTGGGTTCAAGGCCAGAACCCAGGTTCCCCAGTCGACTTTGAACCTCTCTGCATTCACACTGGCTCCTGAGAAGACCTGGGGCTGTAGTGAGGGAAAAACAGGAGAGCAATAGCTCCCATCACAGCACGTAAAACCACAAGATCCACGGTAGGGGGAGCAAGATACAAAGTGGTGAAAATAAAGAGCTGCCTCATTTACAACTTACGCAGGAATGCACAGAACTCAACTCAGCAACACGTTCAAACCAACACAGAGTAGGCAGAGAATCTATTCAGCCACCACTGAACACAGAAAGGAGAATTTACTAGGCAATAGTGTGCCAGGTTCATGTAATTACCTGCTAATTTACTGATTCTTATTTTCTAGGGCTCAAGAAACCTTTCTTATTCTCCTTTATGCCTCCAGAACCTAGCAGAGTGGCAACATTCCGTGTTTCTCGACCCGAAATGGTTTAACCTTTACAAAAACCCAACGGGGCGGCACCGTTCTCTCCAATTTCACACCACCTGGGAAGTGAGGCTCTGACGGTGGATGCGCCCAAAATCATTAAGTTGGAGCTGCGTTCGACACCCAGGACGGCGAACTCCGAGGCACTTCTCTTGACTATCACCGCGGCCGGCCGAGAGCCCTCCGCCGGTCCCGCCTCCCCGCTTCGGGCGTCGGTCGCCCGAGCGCCCGGCCGCGCTACCTGGAGCACGCAGTCCGACTGCAGCAGGCACGCGCCGAGGTCCTCCTTCAAGCCCGCGCACGCGCCGCCCTCCGGCTTGTCCTCGTAATAGCGGGGCATGACTGTGCCTTCCGCCAGCTGCTATCCAAACCCACTCCACTCCGCGACGGCCCCGACTTGACTGAACGCCAGCGACGCCGCGGCGGGCGGAACCGGAAGCCACAGACACCACTTCCGGCGGGCGCGGGGCGGACCTCGGAGCCCGGGAGGCCGAGCGCGCGGCGGAAGTGAGTCACGTGACGCACCGCGCCGCGCCCCCAGCGCCAACGACGTTGTTGGGAGGGAAGTTGGCCCCGCGGCAGCTGGGCTCGGCAGCTGTGCGGCGGTGGCGGGTCAGTTTGGAGCCGGTGGAGGCCGCCGCGGGGCTCCAGGTGAGGCCTGCCGACCGCCCTGTCTGCGCGCGACTCGGGCTCACCCGGGGGCCGTTTCCAACGGCAACTCGCGGCCCCACGTCACCCGGCCCTGGAGTGACCGCGCCCGGGTTCGGGTGCTCGGCCTGCGGCGGGGCTGCCAGACACATTCAGTGGGGCTGGTTACAGTTGAATTTCAGATACCAGCGAAGAATGTTTTCGTATGCGTATGTCCCACGCAGTGTTTCGAACCTGCTGATATTAAAAATTACTCTTGTATCTGAGATTCAGTTCTAACTGGACGTCCTGTGTTTTTATGCAAAATCTGGCCGCCCTACCCGAGGCCCCGGGCCGGCGGGGAGCCGTAGGGCCCGTGAAGCGCCGTCGGCGTCCCGGAGGAGGCCTGGGGAGTGGAGCCAGACACTGGGCTGCCGGGGCGGGGTGTGGGGGCCGGACGGTGATCGGCGCTCCCCTGGCTTCAGACCGGTTGGACCGGAACTCCCACGCTGTCGTTCCGCTGCTGAACTAGTCAGGAAGTAAAACACTGCATTTGAGTTCTGCTTTGTTTTTACATCACATAGTCATGAACGAGTTGCTTGCTGGTCATGCGCTGGTGGACCTGTGAGATAGGCCATTTATTTTACCTCGTCGGGAACATCGTTTCAGTTTGGCTTCAGCAAAGGCTTTCTCTTAAAGTCTTGATGGTCGAGAGCCCACATGACAGGTGGAGTTTTGAGCCAGACTGCCTGAGTGCACATTTGGCTCCATCAGTATCACTGCTCCTGCCGGGGAGTGGGGGGAAAGGGGGAAGCTGAGGCTTGAGGGAAGTGAAGTGTGGGGAGAATGTGGACCCTATGAAAGTGTTATTATGAAGGTTCAGAAGGGCGTGGGGTAGCCCTTGCCTGAAGTGCAGTGATCATTTCTGCAGCCTCAGAACCAACTCCATTCGCTTTTGAGCCCAGCCTCTACGCAGGGATTGGAGCCGACATGTAAGGTGACTTCTCTCATAACTCACAAGAGGGGTGCTAGTAGCTGACAGTTTCTTCGATGACTTGGAATAGAATTTTTTTTCTTCGTCCATCTAGGAAGATGTTACCGAGTACTTCAGTGAATTCCCCAGTGCAGGGGAACGGGGTATTGAGTTCCAGGGATGCGGCCAGACACACAGCTGGAGCAAAACGCTACAAATACCTGAGGAGGCTTTTTCGTTTCCGGCAGATGGACTTTGAGTTTGCTGCCTGGCAGATGCTCTACCTGTTCACTTCCCCACAGAGAGTTTATAGAAACTTTCATTACCGGAAGCAGACAAAGGATCAGTGGGCCAGAGATGACCCTGCTTTCTTGGTCCTGTTAAGTCTCTGGCTCTGTGGTAAGTGTCTGTCTGCAGGAGAGTTGAAGAATAAATGAGCGTTTCAGGTTGGGCTTGTCATTTGGAGAATCTTTTGTTATCAGCATGTTGTGGGTCACAATTTGGGGATCTCTGCAGCTGTTTTCTTCCTCTCTGAAGCCTCAGAAATCTCCTCACAGGGAAGAAGGTGGTATTCTTCCTGATTTTAAAAGTCCCAAGCAGGTGCCAGAGTCAACTGTTTCCTCAGAACTTTCAAAAGCAGAGGACAGAGTCACTCCATGTCTTTTAACTACCATGACAAATAAATTGATACCCAAATGCAAACTTACTGTGAAAAAGGACTCCCGAGGTTGGAAATTGCATTTCACCATCAGGCCAATCCAGAATGAGAGTTCTGAAAGTACCAATGTGAACTTGAGAAACTGCTTTTAGTTCAATAGGGCAGTGAAAGGGTCTGAGCCGTCTTTAGGGTGTGAGTGCTGCTGTGTTCTGAATGCTGGGGCTACCCTGGTGAACCACAGACGGATGGGGGCCTCCTCAGTAAACTTCAGATATCTCAGTGGTAGTTCTGTGTTCCCAAGGTGGTCTGCATTTCTTAATCAATTACATTTAACACACCTTTGGGGTTTACATACCTGTCTCCCACACTAGAGTGGGCATCTGAAAGGCAGAGACCATGCCCTGTACCCCTAGAATCTAGCAGAGTGCCTGAATACATCTTGTAAATCTTTCTTTCAGTGTCCACTATAGGATTTGGCTTTGTGCTGGACATGGGATTTTTTGAGACGATAAAGCTGCTCCTTTGGGTTGTATTCATAGACTGTGTAGGCGTCGGCCTTCTCATATCAACCTTAATGTGGTAAGTACGGTTAACTTTGGTTCTTCAGATGCTGCGGTAGAGCCTCCATTTGCTTGCTTCAGAGAGTAGCTGATGGAAATTGAAACAAGATAGATGAACTGAAAGCATCGATTTTGGCTGCCAGGATTAATATACCTTGTCCTCCTGTGTTGGTACCTACATCAGAAAATAAGGGGATGGTCTGCTGTGTCAAAGCACAGCAAATAAGTGAATTGAAGTAATGATTGTGTCGTATTAACAAAAATTTTGATTTTGCAAAAATATTATGCAGTTAGCCAATTCTGCTTAAGCTGTCTGGATGACGGCACAGTATTCTGCCTTTGCCAGTGGGTCACTTCTAGAGTTATAAGATGTAGAGGGTTATATTATGGAATCTTACTTTGCATCTTTGACATGAAATGAAGTACACCTGAAAAAGGATTGTTTTGGTTAAAATTTTGGTGTCTTTCTTCTGAGCCACACACATGGGTTTTATTGACTGGGTTCTCAGTCTGACTTTGTCTGGGTTTGCTGTACCAACAGTAGTATACTGAGTATAAATCTGGTGTTTGGTTTTTCAGCCTTCTCCCTGATCAGTGCTCCTGTGGGGCTGGCGGATGGGGTGGATGTGTGGGTGAGCTCAGCAGGGGGCCGGTGGTGGTGGTGGTCGTATGTCAGAGAAAACACTGGAACCTGAGTCACAGAGAGACCTGGGTTCAAATGCCAGCTCAGCCATTTACTGTGTACTTCTTAGCTCCAGTCTTCTCTTTTGGAAGATGGAGTTGATTATCTATTTATGAGGTATTTGAAAAGATTGTGGTATGAAAAGCACTTGGCATATAGTCTGTGCTCAATAAATGGTAGCTGTTAACATTTTAAGCAAGATTCTGAGACGCTAACCTCTGATTATACCAACCTGTTATTTTGCTTTGTAATTTATGACTAGTCCAGTACAGGTCTTGTATCTGCTAGGTAGTTGGAAAATGCAATGCATCATTAACCTAAGATTCTAAAATCTGGCCTAAAAAGAATACTGCTAACCAACGTAAGTCACATATTCATTATCAAGATATCCAAGGGAAACATGCTAGGTGAAAAAATTTCAATAAATAAGGCTTTCAAACAAATAGTTTGTAGCCGGCCTTCTGCCTTGAATGCATGCGATTCTGCGATCTGGAGGGTCGCAGAAGCCGGGAGTTTAGTACCTTAGTGTGAGTCTGTATCATAGTTTGAGTTCATTGGAGAAGGACTGAGTATATTTTTGAGAACCTACATTGTGCTGTGAATCGTGTGAAGAACCAGAAATAGAACTCATGCGTGACTCCAGTCACGCCAGGGGTGCCACAGAAGCCAGCATGAGGAGGCATTTGGGCAGATGCAGTAGCTGATTCCTGGCACCAAGTGTGAAGGCAGAGGCGTGGAACAGCGTGCCAGGTATGGGAGCACAGGGGGCACTGCATGGCTGCGGAGGAGATGGGAGTAGAGAAGTTGGCCCTAAATGCAATTTAGAGAAAAGAACTGGACTTCAGCTCGTAGGCTGCATGTGGGAGTAGGAGGGAGGGGGAGCGGTGGGGAGCTTGGAGGCTTTGAAGTCAGAAATGCAATCCGGTTCACACTTCAGGAAAGATCCTCTCTATGGCAGTGGAGACGGAGGAGCTGGAGAGAGTGGCTAGGCTGGATACAGTCGTGGGGTCTGCACTGGAGCAGAGGAGGCCCGGGCTGCTGCGGTGTCACAGAAGTAGATGAGGGGAGGGAAGAGCAGGACCCGGGGCCTCTGGGATGGCCTGGGAGTTTGGGGCTCAGCAGTCAGTGGCCAGTGCAAGTGAAGCATTCCATGTTGGACATGTTGAGTTCAGGAGGCTTGTTGATAGTGAAGTGAAGGTTCATTGACCCCTGGGGTAGGTGACTAGGAAGCTGCAACAGTCTGGCCGAGATGAAGACATGACTGGCATTATTAATACGGAGGTGGGAGAGGAGCACGACAGCTGTCTTTGAGCTCTCTCAGAAGGCGTGTCCACGTTCTAGAGGTGAGACTCGGAAGGAGGCCGGAAGCCTGGAAAGCAGCCATTCAGGGGCTAAGCAGAGAGGTAGGGGCAGTAGCAGGACCCCAGCGTGGGCACTTGAGTAGTGGGCTAGATGCTTATTCCATTCATTTTAATGGCACAGGTTCTCAGCTCGAGTGGAAGGTGTTCTGGTGAGCTCGTTTGCTCGATCAGAGCACTGTTGTCTTGCCGCTTTCAGGTAGCTGAGTACAGGACTGCTTTATTAGTACTGTAACACCTTCTCCCTCTTGTTTTTCTTTTTTCTATTTTTATTTCCACTAGACATAGCATTTTCTTAACGGTATCCTCAAAATGAAATCACATGTGGAAGAGTCCATTGAATTTCCACAGCTGTGTTTATAATACAATGATCTTTATTGTTCTTTTCCTTTGACAATCTGTCTTTCTGTTACCTGGATGTCTGTCTTCTCGTTCGTTCGTCATTTAACGGAACGATTAGGCCACGCTGTGGAACAGAGACACCAGCTGAGTGATTGTTCCTGTGGCTGGAGACACCGTTGGCCCCTCTCTCCTTACTGGTTCCTCCTGACTCCCTGACCTTTCCACGGGGGAGACCCAGGTCCTAGGCCTTGGACCTGTTCTCTGTGTTCACTCTTTGGGTGATCGCATTTGGGTTCGTGGCTTTTAATATCATCTACACACTGATGAGGTTATATCCGCAGTTTGGACCTCTCCTGTAAACTCTAGACCTTCTCTACCTCTTACTCCAGGCTGACAGGCATCCCCACCTCGCACCTCAGTCTTCCGTTTGTTTAAGGCCAGAATCTCTCAGTCGTCCTTGACTGATCTTTTTTTTTTGTACCCTAGCACTCAAGTCTAGCACTAGTCTACCTAGTGCATCTAGTCCTATCGGCTCTGCCTTCCAGCGGTAATATATCCCCATGTCAGCACCTCCGCTGCTGCCACCCTGTTCATCTCCTGCTCGCAGCAGCTTCCCATCTGCCTCTCTGCTTCCACTCTTGTCCCCAGAGTCTGTTCTCAGACCGGCAGCCAGAGGAACCCTGTCAGTACAGTAAGTCGGACGTTCTTAGAACTTCACAGTGACTTCTTATTCCACCAAGAGTAAAAGCCCAAAGGTCTGACAGTGGCCACAGGCTCTGTAAGGTCCGGCTCCCGTTTGTTTTCGGATTCCATTTCCTGTGTATCTTCTCACTTGTCCCAGGCACTCTGCGCCCCTCCCCCATTCCTCAAGCCTGCGGGGCCCTCTGCCACCTCCCTGTACCCCCCCCCCACCTCTGTGCTTGGACTCCCCTCTGCCTGGAATGCTCTGCCCCGGGGGATTCCCATCACTGCCCTTGGGACTTTACCCAGATGTCGCTCTCTCATGACCATCATCATATGTAACATTTCAACTTTGTATTCTCTGTCTTTCTGTACTGCTGTTTTTCTCTATGGGACCATCTGACAGCTATTTGTATTGTTGTCAGACTACTCCCCCGAGATTGAAGGCAGAAATTTGTTTTGTTTACCGCTGTATCTCCAAATGTCTGGAATAAAGCTTGGGACATAGAAGGTAGTTGGTAAATATTCATAATTAATTTTATTGTACTATGAAATGAATGTTAACTTTTCAGGTTTATCTCTAACAAGTATTTAGTGAAACGGCAGAGCAGAGACTATGATGTGGAGTGGGGCTATGCCTTCGACGTGCATCTGAACGCTTTTTACCCTCTCCTCGTCATTCTGCATTTTATCCAGCTTTTCTTCATCAACCGTAAGTAGCAGTTACTTCTCAACATATTATCAAAAAGTCTTCATTGTACCCACTGAAAAGAGATTCATTGTATGTGTCTCTTCCGCAGATGTCATCCTAACGGACACATTTATTGGATATTTAGTTGGAAATACCTTATGGTTGGTTGCAGTTGGCTACTACATCTACGTAACTTTCCTAGGATACAGTGGTAAGTAATTGCGTTTTTTGGTTGATTGACAACACAACAGGGAGGGGAAAAGTTGCAACAGTAATACAATTAGCTTACTTTCATGGAGCTCTTACAGGCACTGTCCCAGGTGTTTTAGGAATTCTCCCATTTAATCTTTACAGATACATGGTACAGCTTTACTTGTCCCCATTTTTCAAATGAGGAAACAGGCACAGAGAGATTAAGTAACTTACCCATGGTCACGCAGCTAGCAGGTGGCATAGCTGGTATATAACAAATTTTATAATTTCAAGGAACCATGTTAAACCATATTGATGCTGTCCAAGTTACTGGCAGGAAACCCACTCAGTTTCCTCTTCCTTTTCTCCGAGGCTTTTGGGTTCTGGGTTACCGGCAGTCAGAGTGAGGAAAGGGTTGGGTCCAAGGTGTGAGCATGTTTAAAACCTTTGCCTCATTTTCTGTTTTATGATTGTGGGCTGGGGGAGCTTTGAAATACTCTTTATTTTGTAAACATCTGTGTTTAAAATAGATGAACCCTGCTCACAATTCATATACTGTACCCCAGCCACAGTACACAAAGTTCACCCGTCACAGGGAGATCGTGGGGCTCAGGAGCAGGGGAGCGCCCAGGGGTGCAGAGGTGGTTACGCGTCAACGGCAGCAGTGCCTGCTCAGCAGTCTGGGCCTAAGGCCAGGTGCCAGGCCACCTGCTGGAGTGGGGAAGCTTAGGGATGAGAGGTTCTGTAGATAATCACAGAAGATCGGGCCCAGCTTCTGCTGAGCTCAGGACGTTTGTGAATTCATCGTTACATCGTGCTGTCGATTCATTTTTCATAGTATGAATGAGAACCATATTGACATTATTCTTCATGTATGTTAAGAAACAATCACTACTAAATAGAGTTAGATTAAATCTAGAGACCTTACTTATGATTTGTTAGCATTATATTCTTAGCCCTTCCTTTCTTGTCACTCTAGATGATCAGGCTCTTACTGTAAATACAAGCCACTTGTACTCACATGTGACTGGCTCCAATGGTGAGAGCTTCCCACGCCTGTCCCCTTGGCTTTGCCAGGAACCACTGAAACGCCCCTGCCACCCACATTGTAATACCTTGTTTGGGGCATTGGGAGTCCTTTCTCTAGTTCAGGGGAAATGTTTGTGACATGTTATGTTTAGGCTTCTAATGAATTTTCACGTTTTGAGAAAGTTTTAAAATGTCATTAGCACACTGCCACGTTATGGTTTCTCAAAGTGGATTTTGCATCACTCTCCTGGTAACTCCCTATGATTTAGAAGATGCTTTGAGCACAGCTCAGTTTCAGTTTGAGGACTACTTGTATGAGAAATATTTAGGTTAGAATGCATGGGGTAGGGACCCACTAACCAAGCCATGAGCAAGAAACAAACACGGATATCTGAGGGTGGATTTTATATGTGAGAGTTTCAGTTCTTTCCTAAAGTCTGGGATACTAGTTGAGATCTCACCTTCTCAAAGTGGACGTGTAATGCTTTCCCCCGCTGGGAAGTCGCAAACAGCTGAGAGTTGGGTTTTTTCCTATAACATCCTCCATCTCTGTTGGTACGTTAGGATGGGAGGCTTCTGAAGCATCACAGGTTTAAATTCACCACCGCGTCCATTAATATTGGCGATGTTTGACCCTCTTAACCTCAGGCCTGGATTTGCTTCTCATTCAGCCTCTGTGCTGAGAAACCGCTGCTCGGTTTCTTCACAGCCATGAATGAGAAGGAAATAACACAGAGGAGTAGTAATGTTGCTCTGGCTGCAATACAGCATCGTCAGTAAGATGCTTCAGTAAGATTCACAGTATGTGTTGCCTGCTCGGCCCGTCGTGCTGTGGGGGAAGCCGTCTTCCAGAACGCTCATTTACTAGTCCTTTACTTTTCCCACCAACGCATGTGGGTTTGCTCCTTTTCCAGCACTGCCGTTTCTGAAAAACACAGTGATTCTTCTTTACCCGTTTGCACCTCTCATCCTGCTCTATGGACTGTCACTAGCGCTGGGCTGGAACTTCACCCACACACTGTGCTCCTTCTACAAGTACAGAGTGAAGTGAAACAGGGAGCCTCTTACATCTTAGGTGCGTCAACAGTATTGGTGAGGTGGTGATTTCCTGTGAAACTTGTAAATAAACTATCATTGTAGATATCTTAAAGGTGTAAAGTTTGCAAATTTGAAGAAATATATATGCTAACACCGTTATCTAGTACATTCCTTAAAACTAATTAAATGTACATTTCTATAATAAATATTTTTTAAACTAAAGCATGTATTTTATTCTGCACAGAGAATATATGCAAAGTACTAAGGGCATGCGGAAAAGAGAAAGGTAAAACTTTTTAATATGAATTATTTTTGAAAGTATCCATTTGGAGAACATGGTAATAATGTTTCCCCTTCTCCCCTCCCCCACTGTTACTGACAAGGTACAAAGTCCAGCCCCATTTCTAATGGGCTGCATTTTAAACTTTTATATAAGTCACAGGATCCTAGTGTAACCTTCAAAAGCCTCTACTTGTAATTCAAATAGAAATCACTGTACTACAGGCTCCAAATATCATTAACAGCCATTGTTCATGCAAAAAAAAAAAAAAAAAATTACCCAACAAACAAAATACAGTAGATCGAAGAGGTCCCCGGAGGCTACTCTTACTCTAGAGACTATAGTAGCATACTCAGGGTCTGAGTGAACACCTGCATGACACTGATAATCACAGTCTTAACACCAGTCTGCTTTTCTTTTTTAAAAGACTTTCCAAAACCCACATATCAAATCCACGCCTGTTTTCTAACTGAAAACAGTACCAGTAAACTATTATTATATCAGTGTTAAGCAAAACTAATAATAAAAAAAGCTTGGTACCCATGAAGTTTTTACCTGTTTATTTATATTAGGAGTCTTGAATTCAACATGGCTTTTTAAACTTCTTTATCTCAAATACACATGAACGGTTGTGGCACAGAGAAACAGTGATGAAAGGCACAGTCAACAGGACCAGTTATCAGGTTTTCAGTTATAGCAGCAAATTTGAAAATAAATAATCTGCCTTTAAAAATCCAACAGGTACCTAAAATATTACTACAGAGATTACCCATTCAGCCAATGGAGACACTGTAAGGAAAATATGTACAATACATTTACGGAGAAAAAACATCTGGTTCAACCTGGTAAAGCAGTTCCTCAGGCAGCTTCTCCCAGGAGTGCTTCCAGAAACACCCCAATTACAAAGACAGCCTTTCCAAACAAAGTTTGTTCTCAAGGAGAAATGCTTCAGTTTTTCATTCCATAAATGAAACAGTTGTTACAGTTTAATCAGCTGATTTCTAAATCTGTCTTAGAAAATGTGACTGTCTACACTGAAATGAAAGTATCAACTATGCTGGCAGTGCATCTTACAGTACTGTCGATATCCACCATTTTTAAGGCTCAGAGACTATGTCTTCAAAAGGTATTTTCACCCAATTTCAGCCAACACTGCGTATTTCAAATAAATAATGGAATGCTAATCAAACTAAAATACCAAACCTTTGATTCCAGGGCAGTTTGCTAATTACTAACACCATGAAGCCACTAGGAGCAAGTGACATATTAAACAGCTTCCCTAGTGTCCAAGAGTACTGAATGTTCCCCACAACACACAATCCTTAGTTTAGAACAATTTTAGCACCACTCTTCCTAACATTTTTCTGCACAAAGTGTTTCCCATTCAACATTCAGTTCACGTTTTTGAACGACATCTAAATTCTCAACTCACACATAACTGGAGTGCCAGCTCTTTCTTGTTTGTTCCTCTGGAAATGCTCTAGCTAGTGCCCAAACAGGTGAAGCACGTGTTTCAGGTAAGAAGAGAAGAGTTTCTATATAAGCATTGATGATATGGGTATATATATGTATATATATATATAACAAATCTTTTGTTGTTGTTTTTTAGTAATACTGTAGTAGTGGTCTCTTCAGCACTGTAGGTTCACATGCATTGAAGAAAAGTAAGCATGTTAGTTATCATGGCATATATCTGTTAAGATTAATAATTTACAACTATCAGACTAAATTTCATACACTATAAACACTGCTACATAGCTTTGAAAAGTTTCCTTTTCTTTAAAGAGATCAGATGTCAAAGTTCTCTTAGGACCTCAGATATGATTATGACTCAAATTTCTGACCTTTCGATAATGTTAGCCTCTCATTTTCTTTCTTTTAGCTCAACTTTTCTTACATCAAGGCTATAGCAATATAGTAAAAGAAGCACAAAAAGTAATGGACAAACCAAAATTAAACTTCATTAGCAATTAATGGCTTGGAAGCAGAGAAGCATTTTGAAAAGTATTCCCTAAGTACAAAAATTTGGTCAGCACGTATAGGATTTGATCTGTGCTTAGACTATAAATTTTGGTTTAAAAAAAAAAAAAAGTCCTTCAATACAGAGTAGATTATTTGGTCTCTACATAAAAGCATAAATATTTCTTTTCTCTTAATGTCTTACTTAAAATATCACTGTTCCTCATTCTTCAATAACTGACAGGCTCAGAGCAGCCTAAATCAACATAAAGTGACACCTATTCCAGGAAAAAGATTCCTTACTCACTGGATCCTGCTCCTGCAATCTCATGCTAGCGGTTCCTTCATGAAACGCTACAAAGGTGCTGCAAGTTTTTGCCAACAACCTGCCAAAGAGGATTAACTGAGGTCTCTGGGAGAGAATCCCAGATGAGGCCTGTGTATATGATCTGCTAGTGCAAGACTTTATTCATAAGTTTATTAAGAAATACCCAACATACCAGAGGGGATCAAGTAGGAAGCCTTCTCCACTTCACCTCTTTTAAAATCGTATTCATTTTCTATTGCTGCACAAAATCACAGCAAATTTAAAAGCGTAAAACAACACCCATTTATTATCTCACAGCTCTGTAGGCCAGAAGTCCAGGCAGGCAGGACTGAGCTCTCTGCTTAGAGATTCACATGGCTGGAATCCGGTGTTGGTGGGGCTGAGCTCTTAGCTGCTGGAGGAGAGTCCACCTGCACACTCCTTCCGGTTGGTGGCTGAGTTCAGTTCCTGTGGCTGCAGGACTGCAGTTTCCATTCTCTTTGGCCATCAGCTGGGGCCTCTCAGCTTAAGACCATCTGCATCCCTTCTCATGCGGCCACCTCCATCTTAAACCAGCCATGGTGCCGCAAGTCCTGCTTTGAATCTGACTTCTGCTGACAGCCTGAGAAAACTCTGCTTTTAAAGCGCTCGCCTGATGAGATTAGCTGTCCCCAGATAATCTCCTTTTTGCTGTACAACGTAATTATGGATCATACTCACAGGTTCCACACATACTCAAAGGGTTAGGATATACAAAGTCATTGGGCAGGGGGGTCATCCATGGAATTCTGGCTGCTACAAACATTCACTGCTATTAATTAGAGCAATCTCTCCAAACATGCTGTTTCCATATAACCACACTTGTCTTTGAGGACAGCACTGTTGGAAGACAACTTTTTTCATTATTATGACATATTTAAAAAGAAGCCTCCATAGCGTTGCTGAAGTTTTTAAAATAACATCTTCTAATTATTTACTAATGCAATTGACTTAAAAAGCTTGTTCAAAGACATCTCCAGCAGCCGAATTAACCTTCACGCACATGTCTATAGGCTGTGTGCTAAATCCATGTGCGTTCACATTTCCCAAAGCTTGTCAATCACACGAGTTTTGGAACCTCATCCTCAAGTTGTCACTCTTTTTGGACTACATAGTAGGGACAGTGAATGCTGTAAAGAACGCAGGAGACTTAAAGAACTTAGAATCCTGGAATTAGGTCCTCAACCTTCTCTTCTCACCCGAAATACTCATCATCATTTGCACTACGATATATTCTGCATGTCTGCTTTTAGCCTCATGATGGGAATTCATTATTCTGGATTCTAAAATGTTCATATTAGCACTCTTGGCACACGGCTGTGCTACAGAATTTTCTGTGATGATGGAGATGTCCTATATCTGTGCTGTTTAACCCAGTGGCCACTAGCCATAGGGAGCTAGTGTGACTGAGAAGCTGAATGTTTTATTAATTTAAACTTAAATAGCCACCCTGTGTCCAGTAACTACTGTGGAGGACAGTGCAGCTCCAGAGACATCATGCCATATACATATGTAAAAAAAAATTAGTCCCGCCATTTGTACTTTTCCCCACTCACTCTGGGTAAAAGTGGTTCAGTGTCCACTCAAGGTCAAGTATGTACCTTCTCTCGTTCCAGGTCCCCTCATCTTCTGTCCCAATACTTTAGTCCCTCACATGACTCTTAAGGGCAACCACTATAATCGCTTGCTTGAGGCAAGGCTGGGTGCTTCTAATTGTCTAGTGGCAACTGGGGGAAAGGAGAGCGCAGCTAACACGAGGGTCCGTGAGCACCTGTGCAGCAGAGGAAGCTAGGAAGCATGACTTACAGGCTTGCCTGCAGGAGCTTGACATTTGGCCAGAGTGATTACGTGTATGTGCACACACACTCGCCACAAGCAAAGTAGACAGCTGAGTGTGTGTGTGTGTGTGTGTGTGTGTGTGTGTGTGTGGCAAGGACAGTAGGTAAAGAGAGTTAAAGAAAGAGGAGTGTGGGCTGGAACAGTTGGTCCCCTTCCCCAGACGCTACCTGGGCACCTGCCACGTGTCAGGCACTGTTCTGGGCTCAACGAGGCACTGGTAACAAATCCATGGGGAGGAAGGAGTGCACAGGAGAGTCCTTGAAAGATGGATAAGATTTGGCTGAAAGTCTTCTCAGGAACAGGAGGGATGAGCTAAGCCTGGGAGGGGAGACTGAGCACAAAAACAGGACAAAGCTGGCTGGGTAAGTAAGGCTCAGTCTCAAGACTGAGACACCCAATGGCCAGGAGCTGCAATTACTGTCACCTCCCTAGACTCAGAGCGTGGCCTTTCTTCCTCAAATCAGAGTTAGCTACTTGGGAAGCAGGGAAACAAGGGGATTCCTCCAGATTTTTACCTCCTGATACTTATTTGTTACAGCAGTAATTTAGTATGTGAAGCTGGTGCCACAATTTTGTAATGAAAGGTTTATGCTTTTGCAGTGACATTTCCCTGTTAGGCGCTGGGCCAAGGAGATTTGGGAAGGAAATAAAACGTAAATTAAAGAAAATAAAAAGTAAAATTTAAAAACCTCAATAAAAATTTTTAACTGGACTCGGACATAAAGAAATCATTGTTGGCAACATGTAACTTTTTAATCAAGAGACGTAACTAAGAATTATTCAAATATGGCGTAATGGAAATAATTGTACCCTATCAGTGTTTCCCAACCTTTTTCACTGCATAACCCTGCACAGAAAACAAGGCTGTCTGGAAGCTGTTTGTTCAGCCTGCTGGGTAACCAGGTGACGCTCCTCCAGGCTAAAGGCAACCAGCTAGAACCTTCAGCTGCCAGAGGCCTCAGCCACTGGCTACTCTGAAAGCTCAAGAGATTCAAGCTCTGCACACCTGTAACCGCCTGCAACCCACCTGAGGACACCAGGCTGGTTGCGAACTGATGTTGATAATTCATAATTTTGTAAAAGTAAAAGACTTTTGTAAAGATCACCGATTGCTAAGGCTGATAGTATTTTTGTTTATAGTAGTGATATCATGTGGAATTTGCATGTTTAAGAGCAATAAATACTCTTCAGATGTGAATTTACTTACAAGTTCATAATGCAATAGAATAATTTTGGAAAAACATACAACTGTTACAATACCTTTCACCAAAAAACCAACATTACAATTTTGTTTTTCTTTAAAATTAAACCAATTATGACTCATACAATAGCATTACCTAGAAAACATTTTGTCAGAACTCACGGAGTGCAGATATAAAAGCATCAAGGAAAGAGAAAATGCCTCTAATTCATGGATTAAAGACAAAGATTAAAAGAGAAGAGTCTGTCATTTTACATATCAAAGGAAATGTAATGACTTCAGTCTATGATAATTTGGGTTGAATGCATCACCCCTGCACATTAAAATTTATCAGACTGATTTTTTGTGACTACACACCATACACAGTATAGTAAAATAACCCTCAAAAAGGACATTGGTCTTTAAAATCTTGGCTTTAAGGAATGACAAATGCCTTTGAAAATATTTTGTTCAGAATCACTGTGATTATAAAAGTACTTCAGTTAGGAAATCAATCTAGAATCATTCTTAAATGGCAGTGCATTTGAAAAATGGCATTAACTTGTAATGTTTGCATTTCCAAAGAAAAATATAGAAAGAACTTAAAAAAGCAAGGTAACTGGTTTTCAAAAAAAGTATTGATTCAAAAATTTACTGCACAAAAATATGTACTTCTTAAGTGTTTCTAATAAATTAACTCCGTAGCATTTTATGTATATTTGTGTGTGTGTGTGTGTGTGTGTGTATATATATATATATAATCCCTGATAATCTATAAAAGAGGGTCTATAATATTAAAATAAATGAACTTCAAAAGTACCCCCTTCATAAAATGTATTTAACATTAATTTTTCTCAAATTTTAAGGAATGTAACAATATGTACAACTCTTATGTATTAGTATAATACCAAAATAGTACAAGTCATATTAACAGGCTGTCATAACTGTAAAATGTCTGAGTCAAGTTAAAACTGGAGGACAGCTTAGGTTCGAATGAATACAATTATCCATGGAAGATTCATTTTCCAAGTGGAAATGACAATCATCTTATCTACAGTAGATTTCACAAGAGGTAGAATTCAAGTTACCAAAAAACGGTACATGCTCAGCCATCTTTAATCAACAAATTCACAGGGAAAAAATGTGTTGGTTTCTTAGAAGATAGTCAGTTTGTGACTTTTTTAATATGAATCTGAAATACAAGATAGTGAACAGCATGAAATGGCAATTTTCAATTCCAAAAAGGTCTTAATTATGAAATCCAAATGCTGTAAAAAATGTAGAATCTAAGCAGTTTTACTGATTTAATATATTGTCTTACCTCATTAAGAATGGCCCAAACAGCAGAATTCTGAATAACTGAAAGTCGGAATGCTGAGATGGGGTTTAGGTTGGGATCCACCATTCCTTCTGCAACACCATTCTCAAATTTCCCTTCAAAGTAAAAATCAACACTCATTGGGTAGACTGAAACAAGCACGCATAAATTTTCACTGACTTAAAGCAGGGAAGGAAAACACCAAAATATTTCTAGTGGATGTTTTTACACAAAGAGCATGGGTGAAATTTTTCCTTCTTTCTACCTTTATTCAACTTTTAAACGTTTCATGAAATAGTATATGCTTAAAAACATTAGAAGCAACCTATTTAAAGAGGCAGAACTATATATTTTCTTATTGCAAATTAAAAAAAACAAATATATTTGTTCTTACATCAACTAACACACAAGATTTTAGCAAAATGTGACTTACAAACCTTACAAAATATACTCTGTACCATTTTTCAGTCTGATCACTTTGAGGATTAAGTCAATAGTAACAAATTTCAGTGCTTTAATTAGACTCACAACTGTTGGCCTTGAGCAGTTTCCAAGGTCACATCTAGATGGAATTAAAAGGTGATACCTCCTCAAGGCAGTTCCAACATAAAACTCCATTATAAATGATAAGCTCAAGAAGCTCTCCTGTAAGGATAAGGACCAAGAAGTTCTATAGAAGATAACATGCTCAGTACTCAATTTTTCTTGCTGTGAGGAAACAGCAAGAAAACAAAAATGCTACTGAAAAAGTGACAGGAAAATGGTTTGTTCTGAGCCACACTGCTCTAAGCCAGGGATAGGCAAACTTCCTAAAAAGGGCAGATAGTAAATATTTGGGGATTTGTGGGTCAAGAGGGCATCTGAGAATATCATCCAGGTACTTGTGTAGAAAAAGAGAAAACTAATTTTCACAAAATTTTTATTGATGAAATTCAAAATGTAATAACAACCAAGTTTTTTTTTTTCTGCTAATACTAAGGAGCATGTAATTCCTTATGGGGGGATAATACTTAAATTAACTGGTATTCAAAGTTAGTGTTCCTTATCATCAAAATCGATTGCAAATGTTCATCTGTTAATGTGGATCTATAATGAGATTTGATGTATTTTATCCTGAATGCTTCCTTTCACACAGCCTAGATACTGCAAATATTGTTATTAATCCACAAGCACATGATTTTAATGGAGCATGTCCATGACTTGGAAGGTATCTGCATAAAATTCTATTAGATTCTTCTCTTTGATAATCTGCCTCATCATTACATTGCACATGAATCACTTTCAATCAAAGGTTGGGGGAAGCTCCTCAATTAGCTTGATATTATTACTTGCAGTTCAAATAACGTTAATAGTCATCAAAGTGACCTGAATGCAATATAAGTTTTGCACATAAGCACTGCTTTGTCTTGTACTTTTAGGTTGAATTAAGAAACATTATCAAGTCTGAAGCAAAAACTAATTCTCAAAGAGATAATAGTGGTTGAGGGCAGTTCTCACTTGGAAAATTTTCAATCTTATTTCAGAGCTATAACAAAACAAAACCAAAAAAAAAAAAAAAACCACAATAAAATTTTATCACTGCTAAGCCCCAGAACTGCTGTGTGGCAGGGCAAGTCAGGATATTCAGTTCTTATTTCTGACAAAAATTCACAGAACTGATGTTGATGAAGTCAATGAGAGTAAGTAAAGTTCACTGGCAACACTACTGGTTCAATAAATTAATGATACACGACAGACTCAAATACTCTCTGTAAAGCACCTGCTGATGAATAATAACATAACCATAGGCTTTAAACACCTTACATTGTTGCAAGCTTTGTAAATCTGTCCATCTAAGCCTTCTTCTCCTCCACACATATTTTCACCACCATTCATTGTAAAACATCCTAGCAGATCCCACTTCAGTTTGTATGAACTTTGTGTTTTCTCAACTGGTTTGAAAACATTCTTGCCTGTACTTGTTCTCTACAGACTATTCACAGAGACCAATTCTTCAGTCACTTCAAACCTGGCATTGACTCCAAATAACAACTAGGCAGTATCAGTAATATCTGTCAACTCACCAAGAGCCAAGGAAAACTGCTCAAATAATTTGCATTGCTTTTTGACTACTGATATTGTTCCCGAAGTCCCCAACTCCTCAAGCAATAGTTATTGCTGAAAGCCTGATGGTCCGAAATAAGTTTATTTTCTGGGCACACATATCTGCTGTAGTTAAACATGATTTAATTAACTCATCATTGGTAAATGGTTTTCTTGCTTGGCTAACACATGAGCCAGTTTGAAACAAACTTTGGTTACAGTGTCATTTGACTCTTTTATTTTTGTGAAGAAATTCTCAGTGATGAGATATCATATTTTAAATCTTCTAATTTTTCTGACCATTGCTTTCCTGTGAGTTGGGGATATTGTTGTGAGCGCTTAGTAGTGGTAACGTACTCTTTAGCACAGCTCTTGTGTCACTGCATCATAACCACATAACCTACCATCTAATTTTGTAAAACAACCCATATTCCACTGTGTTAAAAAGCACAACATTCAAAGTCCACTTTTCTCTTCCTGTTTTGACATGAAGGGTAATCACTGGTAATTTTTTTTTAAATGTCACAGTAGAGTTATGTGTGTGGCACTTTAAACACTGTCAAATTATAATGCATCAAAGCTATTTGTAGTGCACTAAGCAGCAATTCAAAGCACTGAGAGCACCACCGCCATCTCTTTTGCAACTGCTCACTTATCTCTGCTGTTGTAGCATAAAAGCACACAGACAACACGTAAACAAATGAGCATAGCTGTGTTAAAGAAACTCTATTCATGGACACTGAAATTTGAATATTTTCTAGTTTTTACATGTCACAATATATTACTATTCTTTTTATTTTTTCAATCATTTAAAAATGAAAATAATGAAAAAAATTTCTACATTCTTCACTCACAGGCTATTAGAAAACAAGCAGTGGGCCACATTTGGCCCATGGGCTGTCGTTAGCTAACCATTAAATTATGTGTCAATTCTAGAGTCTTAAAATATATTGACTAGGCTCATAGTAAGATAAGATACATTCAAATTGAAAAACCATACTGGAGAAAGTTCATTTTCATTTGTACAGGAAATATTCAACTTATGAACTGCCAAAGTAATGTTTTTATTTTAAAAATTAATACTTATTTCATAAAAGTATGTCCTTATTTGGTGCTAGACTGGGGTAGGGAATGTATACTACAAAAACAGTATAATTTAATATTGAGTTAGGAAGGGAATTCAGGGCTGAAAAATGCTGTGGAACTTGAAACATTTTAACTTATAATGTATCTGAATCTATCACCTGATGAGCTCATTAAATTAGAAAAATAATTAGCAAATTATATAACTGGCCTCATTAAAAGACTCTCACCCAGCAATTTTATGCTGCAGATATCCTCTCACATGTGCAAAAAGCATATATAGACTGCAGCAAAAACTGTGAACAATCTAAGTGCCCATGATTAGGAGACTGGCTAATTTAATTACAATATGCTAATACAAGGGAATATTAGGCAGCCCATTAAAAGACTGAAGAAACAATAGAAAGAATGAAGTAAAGTTGTAGATAATGCAGTTGTGACTTACTTCCATTCCTAAGAATACATTGTAGAGAAACTCTCATACATGTGCCTACGTGTTCAGGCCAGCAAAAAGATGGAAACACACTTTATGACCAAACAGAACAGACAGCAATATATTCATCCATGGAGATCCATACAGCAATGAAAATGAATAAGCCATAGATACACACATCCACATGGTTGAATATCACAATGGTGAGAGAAAAAAGCAAACTGTAGACTACAGAATGTCATCATTCATATCAAATTTCAAAACAAGCAAAATAAGACTGCATTATTCAGGGATATATCACACATATGTAGTGAAAGCATATATGGAAATGGTAACCACAAAATTTAGGATAGTAGTTACCCTTGGGTGGGTGGGGAAAGAGGATAATTAGGGAAGAGCAACTGAACTGGCAAATCTTAAGCGGCATACACTGATATTCATTACATTATTAGTTGTATCTTTTTGTGCATCTGAAATATTTACAATTTTTAAAAAATGTTCATCTTCCATACGCACATACGTATTTTGTTCAGTGAAAAAACAAGATGTAGAACAAGGTTGTAGAGTATGTTACCATCTATGTGTGATTGTGTGTTTTCGAAGAATATACTAAAATATTTTTAGAGTAGATACTTCTAGAAGAATACAAATCATTATAGCAATTGCCTCTGGGAAGCACCGGGTAGGAGGGGAAAGAAGAGGGAAGGAGACAAGTTTACCCTCTTAAATTTGTATTTGGTACCATGTACATGTATTAACTTTCCAAACAATAAATTTAACTTTTGTCCTTAACCCA